TAGCTCGAGTAGTAGCGTTATTCTGGCTTTCTAGCAATTTGGCTCTTAGGCGTGCAGGAATGGCTTGATCAAGGCACCTGACCAGCTGTGCTGGGCCTGCATCCCTGCCCTGGGGGAGGAACAGTAGCATCAGATGGACTCTTGACAGTGGGGTGGGGAGGATGTGGTAGGGGTGAGGTCTCAGGGTCTCCTTTCCCATTCCTCTGACTGTTATATAAAGATGCTCCCTGTTGGACTCATGGCCATCAGCTGTTCCAAAGCTTTGGGAGAGTCCCAGACACGTGCCAGAATGCCACTGGCAAAATCTCACAACTCCCAGTTCCTGCACAATCTACAAGCCTGCCAGGGCTGACAGGACAGCCTGAAATCCCTATCTGGATCATTGTCTTGTGTAAGAATTAAAATAACAACAACAACATTCAAAATGGATTTTCAAGGGTGCAGGGTGGCTTTATGCCTGTACTAATTTCACAAGAACAATGTAAAAGCTTGACTCTGCAAACAGGCTGCCAAGTTGCTGTGAGCCGTAGGCCAAATTTGAATGCCCTGGTATAACTTGATTTTTTTTTTTGAGATGGAGTCTCACTCTGTCACCCAGGCTAGAGTGCAGTGGTGCGATCTTGGCTCACTGCAAGCTCCGCCTCCCAGGTTAAGTGATTCTCATGCCTCAGCTTCCTGAGTAGCTGGGATTACAGGTGCACACCACCACATCCAGCTAATTTTTGTATTTTTAGTAGAGGCAGGGTTTCACCATGTTGGTCAGGCTGGTCTTGAACTTCTGACCTCATGATCCACCTGCCTCGGCCTCCCAAAGTGCTAGGATTACAGGCATGAGCAACTGCGCTCAGCCAACTTGATATTTAAAAAGAAAACACAGAAATAATAATAAAAAAGAAACTCTCCATGGCAGATTCTTTTGTAACACAAAGAATCATTCTACTTTTTTTTTTTTTTGAGACGGAGTCTTGCTCTGTCACCCAGGATGGAGTGCAGTGGTGCAATCTCGACTCACTGCAACCTCCCCCTCCTGGGTTCTAGCGATTCTCCTGCATCAGCCTCCTGAGTAGCTGGAATTACAGAAGCCCCCCACCATGGCCAGCCAGTTTTTGTATTTTTAGCAGAGACAAGGTTTCACTATATTGGCCAGACTGGTCTTGTACCTCAGGCCTCAAGTGATCCACTTGCCTCGGCCCCGCTAAGTGCTGGGATTACAGGTGTGAGTCACTGCACTTAGCTCATTATGCTAATTGACCTCTGGTGAAAAAGAATTTTTGGTTTGTTTTTGCAGATTAACTTTGTTTAAAAGAAGAGGCTAATTGTAACTCCAGAGAACCTAGAAACAGTATGTTGTAAACAGTGGCCCATAATGGCAAAAGCTCACACTGAAAGGCTTGCCCCTGGGCCCTTTGAAGGTCATCCCCTCCCTAAATTGTGATGGTCAACTTGGGGGATGGAGGTGGGACTGTCACCTCCTCAACACTTTTTTTGAGACAGAGCTATGCTCTGTCGCCTAGGCTTGAGTGCAGTGGTGCGATTTTGGCTTACTGCAACCTCTGCTTCGAGGTTCAAGCAATTCTTCTGCCTCAGTCTGCCGCGTAGCTGGGATTCCAGGCACCCACTATCACATCTGACTAATTTTTTGTATTTTTAGTAGAGAATTTTTGTATTTTTGTCATGTTGGCCAGGCTGGTCTTGAACTCCTGACCTCAGGTGATCCGCCTGCCCTGGCCCCCCAAAGTGCTAGGACTACAGGCATGAGCCACTGTGCCCAGTCTACTATAATACATTCTTATGCACACTGTGATTAGCTAAAACAATCATTTTTGGGGGGTGAAAAACAGTGCTAATTTGATATGGAACAAATGTATCTCATTTTTATTTTACATTTCTCTGAATTCCAATGAGGTTGATCTACCATTCAGTTTGACTAGTTGCCAGCATTCTATGAGGTTTCTGTTTACGTCCATTGCCCATTTATCTACTGAGGAATGGTGTTTCTTATTGATTTGTAACTGCTTTTTATATTTTAAGGACATGGGCTCCTTGTGTTATTTGTTGCAATCTTTGTCCCCTAATGTGATGTGCATTGTGTTTTGTTTATTTATTTACTTTTAAACATACAAAACAGCTTGCTGAACCTGTTTCTTTGGTATTCATCACTATTAAAATTATTCAGTAACCATACAAAGCAATAATATCCTAAATAGCTAATTCACTGATGTTTAATTTTGAAATTTTTTATTCTTTTGACACGGGTTCTTCCTGTGTTCCCCAGACTGGAGTGCAATGGCACAATTTTGCCTCACTGCAGTCTCGACCTCGTGGGCTCAAGGGATTCTCCCACCTCAGCCTCCTGTGTGGCTGCTACTACAGGCATGCCACCATGATGCCTGGCTACTTTCTATGTATGTGTGTATGTGTATATACATATGTGTATGTGCGTGTGTGTATACACATATGTGTGTATATACATATGTGCATGTGCGTGTGTATATACATGTGTATGCGTGTGTATACATACGTGTATGTGCGTGTGCATACATATGTGCACGTGTGTATACATACATGTGTGCACGTGTGCATACATGTGTGAGTGTATATACATACATGTGTATGCACGTGTGTATATACATACATGTGTGTGCGCATGTGTATATACACATGTGCACGTGTATATATACATACATGTGTGTGCGCGTGTGTAGATACATGTGTGTGCGTGTGTATATACATACGTGTGTGCGCATGTGCATATACATGTGTGCATATACATACGTGTGTATATACATACATGTGTGTATATACGTGTTATATACATACATGTGTGTATATACGTGTTATATACATACATATGTGTGCGTGTATATACATACATGTGTGTATATACATACATACGTGTGCGTGTATATACATGTGTGTGAGTGTGTATACATACATATGCGTGTGTGTGTGTATATTTCTTTGTAGAGATGGGTCTCCCTATGTTACCCAGGCTGGTCTCGACCTCCTGGGCTCAAAGCAATCTGCCTGTCTCAGTCTCCCAAAGTGCTGGGATTACAGGTGTGAGCCACTGTGCCCAGCCACCATTTTTTTTTTTTTTTTTTTTTAAAGCAATCTCTTCCATTGCTGTAGCAGTCAAATAGATACTGAAGAACTCTGAGGAGAAGGAAGGAGGTGGGGAGGGAGGGCAGGAGAGAGAAAAAGAAAAGAAGAGCAAGTGAACAAAAAGGGAAGAGGGAGAAAGAGGAGGAAGGAGTGAAAGAGAAAGAGAAAGCAGCACAACTGGCCTCCCGACCTCCGTGACACATCTCCTCCAGCTCTGCGGCACGCACCCAGAAACTCTGGAGATTTCTTGTTCTAACACAACTTCACCTCACTGTGTCCCCAGAGAAGAATCTAAGTGTGGCCTATTTTATAGGTCTTCAGCTGGAAATGGGCCACCATTCTGGCCCTCCTGACAAACCACGTCCTCACTGTTTGGTCACGGAGACCATTCAAGGGTCCCTCCAGATGGGCTGAGGAGGGAGCCTCTGATTTCTCAGGGGGAGTGAGTAGGTCAAGATCCTTCCAAAACCTTTCAGGGAATAATCCACCATGATGGGCACAGCCGGGGTCCCCAAGATTTATTTCTCGATTAGAGACTTATTAGATGTTTTTCATCCTGCTCCAAATGTCTACAACCTCAGGAATGTACTGCTATGTCTGCTATCGGGGTCCTAATGGCTAACGGCCACTCAGCTGCTGGGCGCCATCTTGAAATAGTCACCCAGAACCTGGGGGCCATTTTGAAATAGCTTCCCTAGAAGTTGGGCACCATCTTGGAATGGTTACCCAGAACGAGGGTGCCACCTTGAAATGGCTGCCCAGAACTTGGGGGCCATCTTGGAATCACCACCCAAAACTTGGGGACCATCTTGGAATGGCTACCCAGAACTTGAAGGCCACCTTGGAACTGAGGGACCATGTAAGCATGGCCATTCAGAGTTCAGAAGCCATCTTAGCATGGCAGCCCAGAACTCAGAGGCCATCTTGCAATGGCTTCCTAGAACTTGGGGGCCATTTTGGAATGGCTACCCAGAACTTGAAGGCCACCTTGGAACTCAGGGACCTTGAAAGCATGGCCATCCAGAATTTAGAAGCCATCTTGGAACAGCCGCCCAGAACTTAAATGCCACCTTGGAATGGTTGCCCAGAACTTGGGGGCCACCCGGGAACTCAAGGGCCATTTTGCAATGGCTTCCTAGAACTTGGGGGCCATCTTGGAATGGCCACCCAGAATTTGAAGGCCACCTTGGAACTCAGAGACCATCTAAGAATGGCCATCCCAAATTCAGAAGCCATCTTGGAATGAGAGCCCAGAACTCCGGGGCCATCTTGGAACGGCCACCCAGAGCTTGGATGCCATCCTGGGATGACTACTAAGTGCCTGGGTGCCACCCCGAAATGGCTGCCTACAACTAGGGCACCATGGTGGAGCCCCATACTGACACACGGCCTTTCAGAGGAGAATCCCAGGACTACTGGGAGAAGCGAAAGACACACAAAGGGAGTCACCAGGTCTACAACTACAGGGCCGTTGGGCACGGGGGGAGGGGGTCAGAATTCTCACGCACATTCATTTCCTGATTGTCTCTTTAGGGACTCCCCAAAGAGACAGCAGCTTGGGCGGCGCGTGTGGAGCAGTAGGGGAATGACACGTTCCGGCAAGGCTAGTCTACGGAAAGCAGCACAGCAAGAGGCTGGTGACGTGGCTGAGGCCCATTGCTGTGTGAGGAGGTAGAAGGTGCGTGGGGGGGGTCCCTTCTCCTTCTTCCTCCACGGCTGTCATGCAAAAAGCCAATCGAAGCTCTTCCTGGTGGCATGCTGATCTCCCCCGCGTCCCCAGAGCCCACACACCCCGTCCCTGGACCCTGAGAACATGTCCCCTGATCTGATGGGTGGCCCCCAGGCCAGGGGGGTGGGGGAAAAGAGGCTAGTGGAGGCCTCGCGAGGAGACTTACGTGAAGGCAAAGGCTACCAGGGCCCCACTGACCACTATGAAGTCGAGAATATTCCAGAGGTCGCGGAAGTAGGCGCCCTGATGCAGGACGAGCCCCAGGTCAATCATCTGTGGGGGAGAAGAGAGAGTGCTCAGAGCCCCCGCCTGATCCCCACCCTGGGGTGTTGCCACCCACTCCCTAGCCTCTCGGGGAGAGGCAGGGAAGCCAGAGGTTGCCTCATCCTGCAGGGATGGGCGGTGGCCAGAGGACTCCGGGCAGGATTGGGGAGCCCCTGCTCCATGAGAGGCAGCCCCTCTGCCTGAGGGAAGGCAGCTCTGGCTTGCCGGCTCTTACATCCAAACCTTGGGGTCCTCTTTGATGCCTCTTTGTCCCAAATCCCTCATTGGCTCCATCTGCAAAGCTCACTGACTCTGATTCCAGAACCTTCCAAGAATCTGTCCACATCTCACGTCTTCTTTGGTCACCAGCGTGATCCCGTCCCCGTCATCATCCACGGGGACCAGTGTGATCACCTGCTCACAGGTCCTCTGCTTCCCACACATGTCAGAGGGCACCTGTGAACACCTCCTCTGCCCGGAACCCTCTATGGCTCTCACCTCACTTAAAGTCAAAGCCAAAGAGCCCTGTCTGTGACCCCCTGCACAAGGTGCTCCTCGCCTCCCTGTTCTCATCTCTCTGCCGTTTGTTTCCCCTCTTCTCACACTCTGCGAAGTGCTAGAGCATTTCTAATCCTCTGGCCGACTCCTCCTCTAGAGGGGGGCATTCTTGAAAGCTCAGAATCTCCTGGAGCCCTGGCTCTCTGCAGTTTTTTTTTTTTTTTTTTTTTTGAGACAGAGTTTCACTCTGTCACCCAGGCTGGAGTGCAGTGGCATGATCTTGGCTTACTGCAGCCTCCACGTTGGCTCATTACAGCCCTGGGTTCAAGCAGGTGTCCTGCCTCAGCCTTCCGAGTAGCTGGGAATACTGGCATGAGCCACCACGCCTGGCTAGTTTTTGTATTTTTAGCAGAGACAGGGTTTTACCATGTTGACCAGGCTGGTCTCGAACTCCTGACCTCAAATCATCTGCCGGCCTCGGCCTCCCAAAGTGTTGGGATGACAGGCATGAGCCACTCTACCCGGCTTGAAAAAACAAAACAAAACCATACTGCATGTTCTCACTTCAAATGTGCACTCACCTTGATCACCATCTCAAAGGTAAAGACGCCTGTAAAAACGTAGTCAAAATATCGCAGCACCTGCAGGGGTTAAAAGCAAGAGAGCAGTGGATTACTGGCCCGTTCCAGCAGAGCCCCGGTAAAATGAACGACTGCCCGCTGGGGAGCGGAGCCTGAACCCAGGGGAGGGCACAGCTGCCACATCGGCTGGGCAGGGCGTGCGCCGCACAAGGGCCCCTCCCATCTCTTCCGTAGTGCAGATTTGTATGTTGTAAATGAAACTGTCCAGCAGATGGCAGCAAATCCTAACAGAAATCCCTGTATTAGGCCGGTTCGCTAACCCATGGGAAAGGTGCCTTTTACAATTTGCCCCAAGCCCTACCGAGGATTAGAGGCGGCCCCAGAAAAGTTCAGGGTTGACTGTATCCCTCTTGGTGATGGATCCAATCCCCTGATACCCTTGCTTTCTTGGTGTCCTGGACGAGAAATCATTCCTATGTGTTTCTTTTCCTTTTTTTTTTTTTTTGAGACGAAGTCTCACTCTTTCTCCCAGGCTGGGATGTTATGGTGCCCTCTCAGGTCACTGCAACCTCCGCCTCCTGGGTTCAAGTGATTCTCCTGCCTCAGCCTCCCGAGTAGTGGGGGTTACAGGAACACGGCACCACGACCGGCTGACTTCTGCATTTTTAGTAGAAACGGGGTTCCACCATGTTGCTCTGGCTGGTCTTGAACACCTGACCTAGTGATCCGCCTGCCTTGGCCTCTCAAAGTGCTGGGATTACAGGTGTGAGCCACCACGCCCGGCGCTACGTGGTTTCTTAAACATTGGGGCCAATCCCTTAGCACCACATCTCTTCCCGCCTCATGGCCAGGCCCATGCCAGGGTAGGTTAATTCTTCCTGTCCCCATCTCCAGGCCCGATGTTTCTGCCTGGACGAACAACATTCTCTGGCCCAGCCCCTCTCCAGGACACACCACAGCACACGTCTGGTGTCAGCCGGGCATAAAGATGAGGGTGTGTTGCCTGGTATCTGGCTGGTGGTAGGTACAGGGGGTGGACACTGGCCAGATGTGGTGGCTCAAGCCTGTGACCCCAGCACTTTGGGAGGCCGAGGTAGGCAGATCACTTGAGGTCAGGAGTTCGAGACCAGCCTGACCAACATGGCAAAACCCCATCTCTACTAAAAATACAAAAAATTAGCTTGGCATGGTGGCATGTGCCTGTAATACCAGCTACTCGGAAGACAGAGGCATGAGAATCACTTGAATCTGGGAGGTTGAGGTTGCAGTGAGCTGAGATCACACCACTGCACTTCAACCTAGGAGACAGAGACTCTGTCTTAAAACAAAACAAAAAGGACAGGCGTGGTGGACAGGCGTGGTGGCTCATGTCTGCAATTCCAGCACTTTGGGAGGCAGAGATGGGCGGATCACTTGAGGTCAGGAGTTCGAGACCAGCCTGACCAATAAGGATGAAACTCCGTCTCTATTAAAAATGCAAAAATTAGCTGGGCATGGCAGCGTGCGCCTGTAATCCCAGCTATTCGGGAGGCTGAGGCAGGAGAATCACTTGAACCCGGGAGACAGCGGTTAGTGGTGAGCTGAGATCGCGCCATTGCACCCCAGCCTGGGCAACAAGAGCAAAACTCTGTCTCGGGTGGGGTGGGGGTAATTGGATCCACCTGGAAGCCGCAAGGGCTGAGCATTACTGAACATGGCCACCAGAGGGCGCTGTGAACACCCCAGTCAGGCAAGTCTTGCTTCCGCTTACAACTCTCCGTGGCTCCCACCTCACTCAGGGATCAAAGCCAAATTCCTCCCCGAGGCCCTCAAGGCCCTGCACGATCTGACCAGTCATGTTCCTGACCTCACTTCCTCTCGCTCTCGCCCTTGCTGACTTCCTCTTGTGGCCTGAGATGCTCCCACCTCAGGGCTCCCGAATGCTTTCCCCACATCCCATTTGATTCCCTCTTTCTCCTCCTTTATGACTTAGCTCAAATGACACGTTCCCAGTGAGGACTTCCCTGGCCAACTGTTTAAATTCCATCTCCTGGGCCGGGCGTGGTGGCTCACGCCTGTAATCTCAGCACTTTGGGAGGCCAATGCAGGAGGATCACGAGGTTAGGAGTTCGAGACCAGCCTGACCACCATGGTGAAACTCCGTCTCTACTAAAAATACAAAAAATTAGCTAGGTGTGGTGGCATGTGCCTGCAACGCCAGCTACTCAGGAGGCTGAGGCAGGAGACTTGCCTGAACCCTGGAGGTGGGGGCTGCAGTGAGCCGAGATCGTGCCACTGCACTCCAGCCTGGGTAACAGAGCGAGACACTGTCTCAAACAAAACAAAAAACAAAACAAAACACGAAAATTCCATCTCCTGATGCTTGAGATCCCCCTTATGAAGCCTCTCTTTCCCTCTGCCTGCCACACCTCCAGTCACTTATCAGCCCCCAAACAACTATGTGTTATAGTCACTGACAATCTCATTCTCCATCTCCCCCACCCAAATGTCAGCCCCACAGGACAGGGATGTCTGTCTGTCACCATGGCATCTCCAGTTTATGATACAGGGTCAGGCATATAGTAGGTGCTCAAGAAATGTTTGTTGAATGAATGCATGAACAGCTGGGGCTGTGCTGGGTCCTGCAGGAGCTGGACTCTGTGATCCGTGTGGTTATAACATATATTTCTGTTATGTGTAGTGCTTGAAGAGGAATTAGAGACCAGAGTGCCTGGGGTCGGGGTGGGGTGACTTCCGGGAGGGAGGGTCTGGTTCAAGGGGATTGGCTTGAAGGAGCTGGGTAGGGAGAGGGGATGGTGCTGGGGGAGCACGTCAGGTGCACCAGGCAGTGGCCTAGCCTGGTCAAAGGCCTGACGCTTTGCGGGCTCTGGGAGTGCAGGGACTGTCTTATGCCCTGTCAATCCTCCCTGGCTAGCTCAGTAGCTGGCACATAGTAGTTGCTTATTAAATACTTACTAAAGGAATGAATGAAAGGAAAGGAGAGAGAGAGTCAGGATAGGGCAGGCCAGGGGGTCAGGTGACTCTAATTCTGGAGCACTGAATAAGGTGTACAAGAGGAAATCAAAAGACCAATAAATTCAGTTCAAGCAGTCCTACTATTTAGATCTTTCTGACCTATTTGCAAGTGCTTGATCTCATTCATTACAGGGAAATGTCAAACAAGACCCCAGTGAGAAATCACTCCACACCCAGCAGAGGAGCCAAAGGAAGCAGATGAGAGCACCAAGTATTGACGAGGACGGGGAAGAACAGGAGTTCCCATGTGCTACTTGTGCAAGGACCACTGTCTTTATTTTTATTTTTTGAGACGCTCTGTTGCCCAGGCTGGAGGGCAGTGGTGCGATCTTGGCTCACTGCAACCTTTGCCTCCTGGGTTCAAGCGATTCTCCTGCCTCAGCCTCCCGAGTAGCTGGGATTACAGGCACATGCCACTACACCTAGTTATTTTTTTGTATTTTTAGTAGAGACAGGGTTTCACCATGTTGGCCAAGCTGGTCTTGAATTCCTGACCTCAGGTGATTCGCCTGCCTCAGCCTCCCAAAGTGCTGCGATTACAGGTGTGAGCTACGCTGCCCGCCACTGTGTTTTACTGATTGACTGACCGTTTTGAGACAGGGTCTTGCTCTGTTGCCCAGGCTGGAGTGCAGGGGCACGACCTCAGTTCACTGCAACCTCCACCTCCTGGGTTTAAATGATTCTCATGCCTCAGCCTTCCAAGCAGCTGAGATGACAGGTGCGTGCCACCACACCTGGCTAATTTTTGTATTTTTGGTATTGACAGGGTTTCACCATGTTGGCCAGGCTGGTCTGAAACTCCTGACCTCAGGGGATCCACCTGCATCCACCTCCCAAAGGGTCACTGTGTTTACTGTCTAGTAAACATTCCAGCTGCATTTACTGAGGCCGACCACTTGCAAATTCTGTAATCTAGACACTGTGCTTTTGGTTTATACCCTGGAGGAATTCGTATTTATTTATTTATTGAGATAGGGTCTTACTCTGTCACGCAGGTTGGAGGGCAGTGGCATGACCACGGATCATTATAATCTCAACCTTGCAGACTCAAGTGATCCTCCCACCTCAGCCTCCCGAGTGGCTGGGACCATAGGTGGGCGCCATCATGCCTGGCTAATAAAAAAAAAAATTTTTTTTTTTGGTAGAGATGGGGAGGGGGGTCTCACTATGTTGTCCAGGCTGGTCTTGAACTCCTTGCCTCAAGCAATCCTCCCACTTTGGCCTCTCAAAGTGCTGGGATTATAGGTGTAAGCCACTGCCTCCGGCCTCCTGGAGAAATTCTTGTCCAAGTGACTCAGGAAACATGTTGTGGGTGGGGCCTGGGGACAGCGTTCTAACTCAGAAACACCCAAACATCCATCAACAGGAGGATGGATCACACATCATGCCACACAGGAAATCTGAAAACAGCATCATAAAGAGTGCCCAGCAGCTGGGCGCGGTGCTCACGCCTGGAATCCCAGCACTTTGGGAGGCCAAGGTGGGCAGATCACTTGAGGTCAGGAGTTTGAGACCAGCC